TCTTGAAAATTGTGTGGAAAGTAGTTCTGCAACCAGATCAACGTCTTCTCCTTCGGCCATTTTGGGTTAAAATGCAGTGATAGCTCTCGCAGGCGCTAATCCAATCTTTTATTTTTTTTTTTTAAGAATCTTTATTGAACAAGTCAGGATACAATTCTCAGTAAACAGAAAAGGCTCTAATCCAATCACCGAACGCGCACGGCCAGTCTCGACGTAAGGCCTTCTAGCTGGCCCTAGTACGCAGACGAGTCAGATCAAGAGTCTGAGACTCGTGATCTGATTGGCTATTGCAACCTGACTGTGCCCGTTCACTTACAGCACACAGGGGGCCTGCTCTGTTTAATCTGAAGGCCCCGAGCAAGTTTAATTTACCTGGCAACACAAGCTAGCTGAAATATGATTGGTTAAAAACTCTACCATAATAAATGTGATTTATCGAGCAGAGAAAAGGCCTTGCTGGCCCTGAGGGTGTGTTTATTAGTGAAGTGCAGTCGCCATTCATAATTAAATAACACTGTAGACTAATCCTTTATTTTAATACAGTGAAACTCCGCTACAACGAAATCATGTTTCCAGAAAGAAATTTTTCATAACAGGGGACTTTTCACTAGAGCAAATTTTATCTCAGATGTAAACACACACACACACACACACACACACACACAACACACACACACACACACACACACACACACACACACACACACACACACACACAATATATGTGTACTCATTATTTATATTCCAATAGTGCATAAGCATGAGCATACACTTATTTGACACTTCATATAGTCAGTGTAGAAAGAAAAAAACGGGAAAGAAATTGTGAAATTTACAATCAGCATTCACTTTCACTTACATCAATTTCTTGCATAATTTCTTTTACTTTGCTTCCTCCATCTTTCATTTTGATCACTTTACCCTGTCTTAAAATGTCAGAGCTCTTTTTTTCTTAACTCCTTGGCATGCAAAGGTCCGTTTTTTAGCCATTTTAGCAATGCAACGTCCGTGCTGCGTCTGAAACTAACAATAACAAATACTTACTGTGCAACTGCGCGTGTGTAAATCAGTGTGGTGGTTGCTGTTGCCATTTCGAAGCGAAGCAGTCGGAGTAGCTGTGACAGGCTGAGGTCAGATTAGACTTTTGCGGAAGGCTTGTTTTCGTTGTAGTGAACCTCCTTGCGAGGCAAGGGCAGAGAAAAAGATTTCGTATTACGCAGTGGGGGACTTTTCGTTGTAGGGGGAGCAGAAAAGTCGGAATGGCTTTCATGCATGAAGATTTTTTCACACTAGGGGGTATTTTCGCCCATGTAGGTTTCGTTACAGAGGGGTTTCACTGTATGGTCCATGGCCAGGAGTGTTGCTAGGAGTAAAGCTCTACTGGGCCACAGTGCCCTCCACTACAGTGGTCCACAGACATAGTAACAATTTTGAGGCCCTAAATATTTGTTATCACCACGGCAGAAATGTAACTGATCGTTGCTGGTCCATGAAACAGAGATGAAAGTCCTCCGGATTTTCCCGGAATTCCGGGTTTTTCAAATTTTTATGAAAATCTCTCCGGAGAATTGAGGAAAATTTGCCTAAAATTAATCCAGATATTAGTTGACAACATTGAACGAAGACGCGTTTGAGTTCGTTGTTTTGCTTTCACAAGCGTAGCCATGTTGAGACACTAACACTAGTAACAGTAAAGAGATTTTCGTCTCTTTATAAACACTCTTGCTAAACCCCAGTGGAACGAATAAAAGACACAGTGGACAAGACAGTTGTCGTAAAAAATATATTTGTAAAAAAAGGGAAACGCACAGATTGGCAGAAAAACGTGTCTGTCCGACTTCGAGTATCATCTCGGCTAGCTTAGCTTAGCTGTTGTCGTGTGTGTCGGGTGAAGTCGTTGCGTCGGCGCTGATTGGTTGAAATCAAAAGACGCGCTTGCGTACATGTTCGCACTGAAGCACGCACAGCAGAGAGCAGCGGACTATCGACTGCTGAGGCTCGTTTAGCTTGAGTGGCGTCGCCACAACAGCAATACCCTCGCCTCGCATTTTCATGGCCTCGCCATATCTCGGAGATTTCGAAATTTCGGCGAGAACGGAAGCCACAAAGGGTAC